ACTGATTTACCAGTGACATCGAGTCTTCCGAAAGGCAAACAGATGCACCACCTTCAAGTTGCAGTCCATGTACTGTTCATAGCTTTGCTATTCAAAGCAGGTTTGCTTTTCACAGGAGGCTTGATGCTCTTTGAATCAGTGATGCAGGATGTGTCCACAAACGAGCGCAACAAACTGAAGAACAGGCTCTTTTAGCCAAAGGTCCCTTACAGGATACAGTTGGGAGAGCTAAAATCCAACGAGTCACAATCAAAATTCGGGTAGATGAAGGTTGTCAAGGGATAATCCCAACCATAAATGAGTGCGGCCGCCTTGTAGATTCATTACATGGTTTTGGGTCGGCCATTTTGATACCGGGTTTTGACTCAAATGCCCTTTGCAGGTGATTTAGCGGAGAAATTCTAAACGTTGAGTGGGATATGTCAGACAAATCTTTATACTCTAAACACATGAGAGATGGACACCACTAGAAACCCATGCAACTCTAAGACTATCTTAATCCAAGCTCCCGTAGAACAAGTGATTTTGGGCTGTATCCTTGCAGGAACCCTCAAGCATCGCTACTTTGTTGCATTTTGCTTGGATGTTCGGACTGAACAACTGTTTGCCTTCTTTCATGGGTTTTCCGGAAAGGAAAAAACGGTTACTCACTTTTAGCAGGGGGAGCAGACTTCGCAACCCCCTTTGTCCAAGTCGTTCCGAAGTCCGTTAGGCTGCGTACCACATGAATGCCCTGATGGCGCAGGAGAAAAAACCAGAGGGACAGTCAGAGGAAGAACGTTGGGGGGGGAAGGTGTTGGGAGACGGGAAGACTTCTTGGTGGTTCCCAGCCATCCGGAATCCGGTTCCCTAGCTTTTTAGGTTTTTAGGGTTTAGTGGTTTTCATTTAACCCCAGGTCTTTGCCCAGTTTTCGCTTCCTTGGTTTCCCAAAGGTCTGTCAAGTGTCACACTCGGCTCAGAGCGACGTTGCCTGGATGTGAAACGAGCTGGCCCATGTTTCCTTACTAAGAGATTCCTGAGTGCAGCTGCGTGAAATACCATTTGGTGCAGGGAAATCAGAGTTTCGCGCCAACCTCAGTGATACCAAGGATTTGAATCGCCCAAGCCAAGAGACGAAGCAGTCATAGCAATGGGAATCCAATTTCGATATTGCAGAAAGGGCTCTTTTTCACAACCATAGTCACACTTCACGGTGTGGGCTGATGAGTGTGAGCTACCAGCAAGATAGTTGGTTTGCCGAGAAGTCAAAACAGGGATCCCGTAAGCAGACCAGGCCGACTCAGGGGTTGTTCCCCTGAGACCTAAGGGGATGTCCCCTTTGAGGCAGAAGGCACCCATGTTTTGTGGGGGGTTCAACCACCATTTTAAGGAGAGGTCTCCCAAAGACAGACACCGTTTGGGGGACGCCCCTTGAGTTTCCATAACTCTGCCCATGGAATATTCATCCCGCTTCGCAGGTAGGCTGTAGTCATGGTTACAAGGGAACCAGCCCCATGGTTATGGACTCAGTCTCCCGTTATAGGAAGACATTTGTTTTAGGAGTATACTTTGATTTAGTGGTAACCAAGAAGAGTCTCTCTGTTTGGCCAATCCACTGAGGCAGCGAGCCTACTTTGTAGGTGAGTTGACCAGAAGTAGGCTCACCCATGTCCCGCGTTTTTTTGTCGCCAGGATGACAATGGATTCTATCACCATTACCTTGGCTCCTCGGCTCCATCGCAAGCCGGTCTCGTTCGGCTTGCTTCGGTTTGTGCTCCCGGTTCGATCATCGGGGGCTTCCTTTTGCCTGAAAATCGGCAACGAGTTTCCACCGTTTCGGTATCTTTCGGGGTTGGGTATTTCCAATAACTCTTGATCGAACCGGGGGAGTGGTGCAGATATAAGGCAAGTCTGAGGTTTCCGATGCCCAGTCACTATCATAGCCAAGGGAAACCGCAATTGGACCCACAACAAATAAAAAGTGTCCCCTACCAAATGCCCAGAACACATAGGTCCTAAAGGCTTGGCACCATTCCCTACCCTTACGGGTTCACATGAGCGAGAAACAAAACTAGAGATACGTCTCCGGTGATTTAGTGAAACCCCAAAGACAAGCGTCAGAAACCTTCAGGAACGATACAGACAGTGAAACCCCAAAAACGATAACTTCCCATTCGAAATCACCCAAATTCGTCTTAGGTTTTGCCGCTCGCTGACATATGAATGGTTTAATGGCACCAGCTGTCTCGTTCTGGAGGTGCGACCGTGGAAGGAAGTCGCACGTAGAAGAGGCACAGTGTAGCTTGAGTATGCATGTGTCGCAGCTATTGCTGACAATTCCTGATCCCACCATTTTGCTAACGTTCCATTGTTTTGTGATCTGGGGCCCTCCGCCCCTGATTGGAGGTACAGAACAGAGTCTACTTTTTCTTCTGTTTCTCGGTGTACCCCAAGAACTGACTTTGACGTGACGTAAAATGCTTCCGGAGCCTGGTGAGTGGAAGTCGGCTTGCCGGCCTTGTGTTGTTGCTACAAGTTGCCTGCGGGTGTTTTTGCAAGCCCTGAGGCCTGAGGCCCTGTCCCTCTGGGCTCAAGAACTGCTGTTCTCAAAATGAGCCACAATCAAAACCCGGGTAGATGAAGGTTAGGAAGGGGCAGTCCCAGCCGGAATTAGCTGCGGCCGCCTTTCTAATTCTTTACATGATTCTGAGTTCACCATTTTGGTATATACCAGGTTTTGGTTGTGACTCAAATGAGGGAACAGTCTTGTTGTCTGAGTTTGGTGACCTGGTGGTTTTTCTGGGGTCCAATTATAACCACTTGATTACCCTAGTTGTAAACAGTACAAAAATGGCGGGCAACTCGGTAACCCGTTGGAGACAGACGCATATCATTGTTTCATATTGTTTCCGGGTCTGTGCCGAGTTCCTTGTTTCCTTCCAGGCTTTGCTGACCGCCAAGGACCCCCCTCTTATTCCAAAGAAAGTTGCACTCTCTACAAGCAGGATCAAGCAGGCAGTCGGCATGGCTGTTTTGGTTGCAAAAGGGGGAAACGCAAGGCGAACTAGAGGGACCATGAGGGACGTTGTTGAACGAGGGTGTTGTTTACACTTCCAGCGGATCTCCGACTTTAACCAGGAACTACCCTCTCTCCCACTAACATGGCACCTGAAAGGGGATCCCTCCAAGAGGAGTTTGATCTTCCAGGTACCCTCCCACAGGTGCCATGTTAGTTGGTTGGAGGGTAAGTCAAGTGCATTTGTCGCCTCTTGTGTTGTGGCCCATGTCGTGCTTTGCTTGCTTCCCAGGCATCAAGTCTGCCCATTTTCTGGTTGCCTTGGTACAGCTGATGTGGGGATCCAGTCCTTTCAGGTCTTAGCATAGGGCCTGTTCCGCACAAGGCCGAGGACCCGCACATTGGGAAAAAAGAGGAACAGAGGTTCCAGCATTGTACCAGAATTCGCATGGAGTTTTATCCGAATTTCATTCGGCCTTCCTAAGGCCAAGAATGGGATACCTTGCACGGCGAGGCCTGCTCATTGCCCATGCAGGGGTTGCGATTGGCCTGTCTCCAATTCCCTTTTTCCGTTGGCGAAAAGACGCATGTATCTGCCTTGTCCTTGCAAGGCGAAACGATTTAATTACTGGACTTCCCACATAGCAGATAAAAAGCAGGGCCTTCACACAGCGACTACTTGTGCATTCTTGGGATGGGGGCGCACCTTTCGCAAAGGAGCAGGTGAATTGATTTCCACGCTTCTAGGTTGCAGGGAAGTCATGTAGGGAGTTTTGCTCTTTTTCCCTTGGTTTTTTTTTTGTCCCCCTCAGCGCCTTTGTTTGCCTCCAAAGGACTCGCAGGATGGATGTTCGTTGGCCAAGCTTGGCAAAGGTTGGGACCAAAGGTTGGGTTGGCGAAGGAAGCCCTGAGAAGAGCCTCAAACTTCACATATGGGTCGCTGCATCCAAATGAATACTAGGTCCCCCAGCAATTGGTGCCCGCTTTTTTACCCCTTTTTTGGTTGGGAGGGCTCCCCTACTAAAATAAACTCTACTGGAGGACCTAGAATAGATGTATGAAAATGCTATTGCTAGTCTGCGGTTGATTTGGAGGGGGGGGCCGGGGTCTGGCCCCAATGCCCCCGCACCTTTTAACCACAAAAACAAAAATGGTAAGTTATCTTGCGGGTTGCTCCTATTGCTTTTAGCTCAACCAGGGTCTCCTGAACTTTCATTGGTTTGGGGTTAGCTTCACGTGTGGATTCATGGTCAGAGCATGTTCAACATGTTATTATTATCGTTCGAGCGGTTCCTTAATAAAATTCTGAGGACATGCGCATTCTACCCTGATGCTATGCCCGCTGGACACTTACCTGGTATGTTCCATTATGTTTTCCCCTTCTTCTTTTTAAAACTGGACAGTGACTGCTACATTTGAGCGGTTTCCCCCACTGCATGGCGGCATGTTGCCTGCGCGCCAATGGATCAAGGGCAGCAGCAGCGCAAAAGAAGGAAGGATTCCCAGAATTGCGGGGAGCGAAAAGATGAAGCCACAGGGGTAGAACATTGGTTTAGTGTCCTTTTCATGGTTGTTGTCGGGAAACATCATACATTTTCGCTTATTGTGGTTTAGTGGTTGAATTCCAACCACTGAGCTGCTAAAATTTGTGTTTTTGCTCCCCTTCCAACGTCAACCAAGTTTTGTTCTTTGGAAGGGAACAAATCGTGTTCCTTGCCTCAGAGCATTTGGAGCTGCACTGCTTCACAATTGTTTTCCCTTTTTCATCAACCGGGGGTTTGGCAGGAATCGCCAGCCCATCTGGCAGCAAGCCCGTCCCTCACGGCACAGGCTCAAGGCCGTTTGAGTCGGGTCCGGAGGCCAGTCCAACAAGGTATTTGGTTATTTAGTTTGAGATCTGACGGGTAGTCATAAACACGTGCTCAGTGTCATTCAGAATGATATGTCAAGTCCTGAAAAGGAAGTCTTGCATCCGAGATATGTCCATGCAGTCCGCTTTTTTTTTCGGGAAGGGCGTACATGGCGCTCGACCACTAGGCGTGCTCGAGGCGCGCTCGAAACCGAGCGCAGCATGGGGCCGAATTCGACGAACGCTGCGCACGTGGTGAGTGCCGTGGGGATGACTCATGGAGGCCGGGCAGCCGAGGCGTTTTCGTGCTTCAGTTCCCCCTAGGTCCCCCAGCGAAAGGGTGCCCGCTCTTTCTCACCCCTTTTTTGGGGAAGGGAGGAGACACCCCCACTAAAATAGACCAGAGAGAAAAGGGTACCAACTTATTCTAACCTCTCAAATCTGGAGGACCTGGTCCCTGTTTTCCGTCTGTTCTAGATCTTGAAAGGGGACATGTTTCGGAAAGATGCAACCAACAGGCGATTTTGTTGTTTTGGCGTGAGTAAACAACAGACGCTGATAAGTGATACGACTACAAATGACATTGTGTACCAAATAAGGATATATGATAAACCATACTACACTAAGATGTAGTCAAGCATACTGCACAGACAAAGCCAGTACAAGCAAAATACGTGACCTTACTACAAACCACAAAACACTACATCAAGCGCATGTCTGTATTTCCAGCTCTGCGCTTATAGATGCAAAGTAAACCAAAGCTAACACCACAGGAGTAGAGGCAAAAAAACCACTTACACAACAAAAACAACAACCATCCCCAGACAGTCTTTCTGGATCAGACCAGCCCAAAAGCAAAAGGAAACAGCTCCCGCGATGCCATCACATAAATCTCGAAGGTCCTTCAAGGTCACTCTCAGCATCCACATCGGGGGAAAGAACGGGGTGCAGTGAGCTGTCCAAGATTGCGGTGAATTCAGGTGCGGGGGACAAATGCATACAGCAGAAGGCACAAAAATACAGAGCACCTTGAACAAAAGCAAACAATACTATCCCAGACAAGAGCTCTGTGCATATCCTAATCAGCATTTCCCTTGAGGATTGTTTTTGTTTGCCGCGTTTGTGTTTTCCTACAAGAACTGGTCTAGACCAAACATGTCCTTTGAGGACTGTTTTTGTTGTTCATGTTTTGTGTTGTTTTGTGAGATCGTCCCAAGTTCAGCATGCGAAGAACTCGTGAGCTCACTTTTTGCTTGCAGTGTTTCAGAAGCACAGGCGGGCCCTTCTGTTTAGGTTCCAATTCAGGGAATGACCATGAGCTGCAGATTGGGAGTTTTGGCCTATTCGAGTTGTCTCCCCAGTGGGATGACCCCTAGAATGTCATTAGTCCCCTGTCCCTTAGGACTAGAAATATGGAATAGACTGGTAGGGGGTATCGGAGTATCGTCGGTTGTTGTTTGCGCACTTGAAGACGAACCACTAGGAGGTTTGATCCTAAGTGACCCCTGAAACTTGATACAAGCCGCTTGAATCAGCCCACTTAGGTAGGTTATAAGCATGCTCAGGGGTAGAGTACCTGTGTTCCCCTACAACGGTTATCGCCGGTTGAACATCCAAGTGGCTCCACAAACCGGGAGCAAGTAGACTGGCGAGCTACCCTTTCTTTTTTCCAATGCCATGCTATATTGCAGTTAGGCGGAATCCGCACCAGATCCCGAAGATAAGTTGCACCAGTTCCTGTGTAGTTAAGCCAAGATATTTTCGGGGCCCGGAAGACTGAGGAGACCCTCAAAATGTGACAGACTCAGAGAGGGTTGCACCCCCCAGACGCCAGGCGCGCCCGTGGCTGGATGCCTTTACAGCGCGGAGCTGAGTTTCCTGGACCTTCTGGTTTTGGTGGGGGTCAAACTGTGACTGTGCATTTTGCCACCATTTGAAACATGTTGGTTTTTTAACACCGAAATAAAGGGACACCACCATTGACAAGGCAATGTTCAGGTGTATAATGTAAGGATGATTTTGCCAAGGGACGATAGGACTGAACAACTTTCTGCCAACTAATGGGTTTTCCATTAAACCAACTTTTAGCGGGGGAGCAGAAACCAACCGAGATGAACTTGTCCAAATGAGCAGCGCCCAAATTTTCCAGTTGGCCGAAATTAGGTGGGTTCTACTACCTGGTTTCATGATGATTGCATGGCCCCATGTGCTCCGCTCAACATGGGCAATGACTAATGTTCCCCATCCTCTGAGGAAAGACCTCAAGTCAACTTCGCCATGACCTTCATACGCCGATTCGGAGCCACAGCAAGGGGCGCCATCGCAACCTAAAACAGGCACTAGTCATTGAGGGCCATTAAGGGCCATAGGCCTCCCTTCGCTCCCCTTGTTGCTCTGAAATGGTATTGGACATCTCTTAGTCCTTAAATGCCTATAGACAAACCTAAAAAGGTAGGCGTTGAGTTGTTTTTTTCCATGGCAGGCGGAAGCTCAATTGTCCAATTTTGCAGCCATTCGGGCTAAACTCCAAACTTTGGATGCTGGGAAGGCGGCTTTACTAGGCGTCAAAAGTCAGGGTCCAAATCTGGTAAAGAAACTTAGAAAAGTGGTCCGAAATGTTTCAGCTTTATTCCCCATGAACATTCATTCAGTGGAGTTCGCTCTGTTTCTCTTTCTGTTCGGGTCCTTGGTTGTTCCAATAGAACTCTTTCCAAAAGATCTTGTTCCTTTCCCTAGTTGGAAATCATTTCCTCGCCAGTCCATTCATTCAGCAGCCATATAGAAACAAGCTGAACGAAAGGTCTCAGAGCTTCGAGTGGGTCCACTCTCATATGATTCCAAAACAAGGTCCCCCAGTAGTGCCCTTTTACCCTTTCTTGGGGAGCGTTCCCCTAAAATAGACTCCAGAAGAAAATGGGTACCCTTATTCTACCCTCTCTACAGGACCTAGAAACACTACTGCCATGTGTGGGGGTTAGGCTATGTTTTATAGAGACTTATAACCCAACTTATTACTTCTACATCCTAACTTATAATCCAAAGTAAGTTTCGCAAGTCTCTATACAACTTAGCGCAAGTTCTATAGCAACTTAAGGAAGATACGATAGATGTTAGTGTAAGTTCTATAGAACTTATAAGGACTTATCGCTAAGTTCTAGTAAGTTCTAGCCTAAGTTACTTCAGGAACTTAGGGAACTTAGGTGAACTTAGCTTTTTTGCATGATTTTAGAAATTTAGGCACGCGCTGAAAAAGCAAGCGGGGCTTTTTCCACACAGCCGCGCTTTGCTGCACTGAGACTTTGCCAGTGTCACCAAGCGATGATCTCGACGATGTCGCCGCGCCGCTGCCACCCAAGAGCGAGGCGCAGTGTCTCCGCTGACGCCACGTTGAGAAAGTCGCGGACATGGACAGGAGCTCGAGCGGCACCACCACAGCTGCCATGCGGTCGTCAACGCGTAGCCCGCACACCAGGGACACGGGGACGCCCTGCGCCAGGACAACGTCGTCCGCCGTGTAGAGGTCTTGTTTCCAATAAAACTGATGAGACACCAGCATGTTCGCATTGCCTTCGCACAAAACCTCGCCGCGCAACAGAGCATCCTTCCGCGCAGCTACCGCGATGTGCGCGGATGTGAGAATGCTGCGGGCAAAGATGCCGCGCTCGAACCCCGGGCCCGAGCGCAAGTGCGAGGCGTAAGCTTTGAGTAGCCTGCGCTTGCGCTTAACTGGGAAGCAGTCCAGCACCATGCCATCGCGCAAGATCTGCGGCCCGAGATGATTGCTTCGGCACCATGATCTCGGGCCCGCAGCGCTGCATGGTGGGCACGCACGGCCGCGGTGAAGGTCGCAGTGCTCCGGGCGTTCACCGGCAACTCGCCAACTTTCAAGCGCTGGTACATGCCCAAGATGTCCCGCATTCTCAAAAGGGAAGCGGTCTCTCGCGGCAGGATGTCCTGTGTCACCTTCTCCGCGAACAGCGCGACGATGGGATACGCTGCCAGGAGCTCGGCCGCCTCGGGCAAATTTAAGCCTCCAGAAGCTCTGGCTCGCTTCGCAAAGAGTGGAACCCAAGCAAGCGCGGCGGTGTTCAGCCCGACTGGGGAAACACGCAGAAGGTCATCGTGGGAGGGCTTCATGCGTGCTGTGAGCCAAACGCCTGCGTGCGCACACATGCACGGCGCAACAGAATGAAGCATGGACACCAAGCGCAGCTTTTTTCACGCTATAGATGCGTTCCGCCGCGTGCGCCGCGCAGGGCTATAGAAGCGATATACAAACAAATCTATAAAGCTAATCCGCTCTTGAGCGCGCCTCTGCTGCGACAGCACGGACGAGTCTACGCTGATATCTAGATCTTAGCACACGCGAACTGCAGGAGCCGCGCGGCAAAGCGGCCTACAGCCCCGTCAACAAGCCTGAGGCCTCGACGCCGCGTCCGGCGCAGGGCGCAAGGTCTCCTCGCCGTGCTTCAACACGTCTCCGATGTCCCGCTGATAGATCCGCCAGCTGCTGGGCCAGCCACTGCGTGCAGTCTTTGTCCTGCTCGCCGCGATGGAGTGACTTCTGGTGGTCGAACACCAAGCGGCTGATCCTGGTCTCAGTGTCAAGCACGCTCTTTGCGAGAGCGCCGTCTTCCGGCGCACGAGCACACAAGCGCAGGGACGATACGCTCAGCTTGTTGAGGCGGCGAATGCCGCCTGCGAGGCGCTTCATCGTGCGAGTTTGCATCGATTCTTGGTGACTGGGCGGCTGAACCACGTGACTGGCGTGCGCGACAGCGCTCTGCGCCTCCTTCTCCGCCGCCGCCTCCACCAAGCTGTCCATCGTCCACCAGTACTCTGGCTCGCCCATGGCTTTTCAGGGTCTCATCATGGGCGTCGCGGAAGGCGCAGCTGCTGCGGCTACTTGCCAACGACTGAACCACTGCCCTCTCTTCTCCGCACTTTGCAACGTCTCGAAGATCGTGTGCTGCGTGAAGGTGTGCAGCCATTGCAGCGTAGTGCCGTTTGAGTGCTCCGCAAAGGACTTCAGGATGGCGTCGCGACGCCCTGGCTCACGCAGTGCCCGCAGCGTCTCCGAGGCCTGTCGGAGGAATCCCCGCCTTTCCAGATCTGGTACTTAGATTGGCTGTTTTTTATAGAGAGTTATGGTGTTATCTGAACATCATAAGCAGTTAATAAAGGAATATAAGTATGTGTTAACAAGTTACATGTAAGTGACAACAATATATAAGTATGCATAAATATACACAGGATTAAAAGGAGTAAATAAAAAGAAGAGTTTTTTAGCTAACTCGGTATAAGATAAACACTTTCGCTAACTAGTTATATTTTTGTGTAAAAATAATAAAAAAATACACCAGGGCAACACTTGTGTTCAAGGTGAATGTATATGTAGCCCAAGCTGAAACAAAAACGAATTTCTGTTCGGGATGTAACATTTTTTTATTCTGCCCACACGATTTCTCTTTTTGGATGGAAAGTCGTCCTGCTATTCTACAAAATGATTATAATGTTTTCTTCCAGTGCCAGAAAGGAGTCATAGGCATAGCCGAAATGTATTGATCCTTTTTTGTTTTTTAGCCACGAAGGATGAAAATTGAAAACGAAATGATCGATAAGCATTTTCCATTCTTCACCAAGACAGCATGTGGAGCCATGTGGCTGTCCCAGGCTTTGTTTCCATCTTGCATTGCATATTTTGCTGCCAGGGACCAGAAGCAAGCCCCTGCAACTCACAGCCTGGTTACCATAAGCCAGAAGGTGGTGCTCCAATACCGAGACGAGCGAGCAGTCACCATACCCAATGACTACATTTTGGTAGGGCCCACCAATGGCAAGTCTTACTTGCGGGTGAAGGCAACCTGTCAATCCATAATCCAGCTCATGACAGGAGGCAGGGTGGCCAGGAACAGCAGCATCCATGCCAGCTCTAGCCTGCGGGAACTGGTCCAGGCCAGAAACCATCAGTTGGACCACGTGCGCGACCCAGACGCGCCAGACGATGGAGAGCAGGCCCAGCTGTTCGACGATGGCCCTGCAAATCCATCGACGCCACCCAAGAAGAGGAAAGCATCCCGCATCGCCATGCCAGAAGTGGTCACCATCCAGGTAGGTTCCACCCTAGTGGAAGTGTTGATCCATGGACGCAGGCCGAGAAGCACCGACCTGGCTGTCGAGCTGGAAGCCACCCAACTGGAGGCTGTCATCATCCACTTGCGAGAGGACTCGGCCCAGGCCACCCAGCAAAGCAAGCGACCAGAGGGGAAGAAAACAAAGGCATGAACACCATGCCAGACTCTATAGACTGCAGCGGCTGCTCCCAGAAGAAAAATGCATCGCGTGCAGTCGTGTGCTTCCGAGCCCCGTCTGGCTGTTCCATGCAGCGCCCAGTTGTATCACGTTTTTAGGGTCTCGGGTTTAAAGTCGATGTCTTCTGCAGCAAGCCGTCTGTGGTCCCAAGAGCTTGTATACGTCCTGCCAGAACCATGGCTGGCCACAGAAGGTGGTCCAAGAGGTGGAAGCCATCTTGGCATCCAAGCAGGGTGTGAACAACAAAGTGGAGGCCGTGCTCCAGCTTCTCCGAGCCAATGGCTTGGCCCACGACCAGGTGTTGCTGCCATCCCAACTTCTGTGCCACCCGGCTAACAGAGCTGGGGGCATGGTGGGGTACCATGATTGCTGGCAGAAAGGATGCCAAATGATCGCCGTAGGCTTCAAGCGATCCATTCTGGACGGCACGACCATATGCTGCCAGCTCGCCACCCAGGAGGAGAAGCGTGGTGCCCAGCTGGCCGCCAACCAGGAGCTGGTGAGCAACTCCAACGGCCACTTAGCACCACTGACTGGCCAAGAGGGCCA